CAGTGTTGTTGGCTATAGTCACCACGCTGTCCATTAGATCTCCTAAAGTCGTTCACCCTGCATAACTGATGCTTTGTCCCATTTGGTCAGCATCTCCCCATTTCCCTCCTCTGTATGTATTTGAGTAAAGAAAAGAGAAAGAAAGAAAGCAATGGCAGGATGAAGAGAGGAGCTAGAAGTAGAATAACGTGCATTCTCACTATCTGGTGTAGCAAGAATCAGAAATTTTCAATGGATCTGGTCAACTATAGTCACCATGCTGTCCATTAGCTCTCCAGAGCATACTCATCCTGCATAATTGAAACATTGTATCCTTTGACCAACATCTCCCCCTTCCCCCTACCCTTAGTCTCTGGCAACCACCATTCTACTCTCTGCTTCTATGTGTTCGACTTTTTTAGATTCAGCATATAAATGAGATCATGACATAAAGGTTTTTCTGTAAGGTTTAATGTTTGTTTGGCCACTATAGTAAATAGTTTAAATGCAGTCTCATTAAGACTTCACAATAGCTGTATGAGAAGTCAATAATATTATTTTCAGATGAAGAAATACAGCCCCGAAAATTGAATTGACTTTAGCAAGTTCACATAGCCAGCCAATTTCAGAGATGTGACTTGTAAGCATTTAATCGTACAGCAAAGATCACTCTCTTAACCACGATGTTATAATAAAAAAAGTGGTGGTTTCACAGATCAACTGAGGTATCACCTTTTTATTGGATGCTATGAACTTCTTACTGGCTTGTCTCCATTTTCCCAAGGGGCCCCAGGTTTCCCAGGACTTCCAGGACTTCGAGGACAAAGTGTAAAATGCCCATGCGACAGAAAGTCAGCCTTCACTGTGAAGCTCAGTGGCAAGCTACCTTCACCATCGAAGCCTGTCACCTTCACAGAGGTCCTGTACAACGCTCAGAGAGACTTAAACAAGGACACGGGGGTCTTCACATGCAGGGTGCCAGGAAATTACCTTTTCCTCTTTGATGTAGAGCTCCGTCACTGCAAGGTGACCGTTTGGCTGATGAGGAACAAGAACCCTGTCTTAGAAAAGCATCAGGTCTCCACCAAAGAGTACAGGAATCTCTCAGGCATGCTGTCCCTTCCACTGAGTGTGGGTGAAATGGTGTGGCTAGAAGCTGCAGTGGAAACTGAGGAGCCTGAGCAAGCCACACTCACCATCTATTTCTCTGGTTTCCTAGCCTCCATATAGCAAAGACAAACCCCTTATGACTCTGCTGTCTAAAGCAAGCAAGCAAGCAAACAAATAAGCATGCACCACATCTTGACCTCTTGGACTTTTCCTTAGCATTTTGGAATTTTGGTAAATAGGTTCTACAATTATAGGAGGGAACAGGTAGATTTGGTCACAGAGGAACTGGGCTTTAGAAGTCTGTTTCAGAAGTCAAATGTGTTTCACTTAAAAACCACTCTTCTAATAATTACCCAGGCCACTCTGTCTCCTTGTCCCCAGACCCTACTATTGGATGGAAACCCTTTTCTCTAAGAGAAGCACACACATGGTCTCCCTTTACCCAAGCTACTTCTCCATCTAACTGACAGCTTCCACCATGAGCCCTTCCTCATCCCTCCAGCTCTTTCCTCTTCTATCCTTCACGCTGCATATTCTGTCAAGTCCTTTTTACAGTGAAAGGGGGTTGAAGTGAAACACATTACCATTATTCCACTTACGATAATGAAAGAATGAACCCTCCTTCCAAAGCTACAAAAACTTGGGGAAATATTGCATGATTTAAGGTAACACTAACTAATGAAACAGGTGAAAAGGGCTTACTTAACTCAATAGAAGTTTACTTCTCACTCATTAAAGTTCCAATATTGATATTTTTGGCTGGAGGTTGAACCTCTCCTAAGCAGTGATTCTGGGGTTCGGGTTCTTCCCTCTCTTGCCTCTGCTATCTTTGACATGTAACTTACAAGCTCTCAGTTATTTCTGTACCAAGATAGCCAAAGGGGAAAGATCACAGAGAGTCGCATGTGAAATGTTTTGAATGGGCAAGGCCAAGAGATGGGTCACAGAATTTTTGCTTGCATGCCATTGACAAAAATCCAGTTGTTAACCATCCATAACTTTACCTCCTTTGGAATTTTGGTAAATAGATTCTATACACTTAAAAATCACTCTTCTCAAAAATAGATTTAAAAAATTTTTCTTCTGTATAGCACAGGGAACTATATTCAGTATCTTGTAATAACCTTTAATGAAAAAATATGAAAATGAATATATTATATATATATGCATGTCTGGGAGATTATGCTGTACATCAGAAGTTGACACATTGTAATTGACTATACTTCAGTTTAAAAAAAATCAATTAAAAGAATCACTCTTCTCATAGCTACCAAGATCATACTTTCTGCTTATCCCTAAACCCACATTACTGGCTGGAGGAATCCTTTATCATATTTACAAATTAAATGAGACAATTACATAGTCATTTAAAAGGACAATAAAAGCATTTGATAAAAACTGGAACTTACTAATAATTTTTAATCTGTTAGGAAATAAAGAATAGAATTTTCTTAATCTGATAGTGACTACTGAAATATTACATGTAGAACATTTCACCCTGGAAAAGTAAGCTTTCATATGGAGGACCAGAATAATATGCCCACAATCACCACTACTCAGTACTGTAACTGAGCCCCCTGGGCTTTGGGGGGCCTTCCCGGGGCAGACCCCTCCCCCATATCCTCTGCCGTAGCTCCTCTCTGAAGTATCCAGATACTAGTCACCAAAAATGTCTTCGCTCATGCTGTAGCACCTGCTAGCCTGACTCTAAATTGCACATGTTTCTTTAGCGCCCTCCCCATCCCTCTTTGTTCCAGCATGTTTTGTTCCAGGCACAGAAATGTCTAGAGATATGACTTGTTAACTCCAGGTGCAGAAGACAAACACCAGACCAAGGCCCACTGGAGGCGGAGGTCATGGTCTGATAACCACAGAACCAGGTGGCCCCATCACCAGGTTTTCTTGATGTCAATACAATCGTGTCAAGGAGGAAAGAATGCAGCCCCTGCATGTTCACAGATGTTTATCAGAAGCTCTGTTTCTTGCTACTACCCCACCCCAGATCGGGCTCACAGTCTTGAGACGCTAGCCTGCTGTGACCCACTTTGCCTGGCAAAGAAGTAAAGCTCTTCTTTTCTGCTTCACACAAAACTCTTGTCTCCAGATTTCAATTTGGCACCAGGGCACAGAGACCGGGATTCGGCAACAGTATCACACCGGAGATGTCAGTCGTGGGGTAAGCAGGAAAAAAAGTAAGGCACATAAAACTGGAAAGGAAGAATCAAACGTTTACGACATTCCCAGTATGGATCTGAAAATAGGTTAACGCAGGTACTGTGAACAGCTTCTTGAGACTTTTGGGGACAGACCATACCACAATAGATTAATGGTAGAATTTTCCTTAAAATGTAACAGATACTCCCACTGATATTCATCCTGGGGAGAAATTAACATCGGGGTGGAGACAACGCAGCCCCTGCATTGGGGAATGGCTGCATCTTCTCTTCCCCTTGGGCCCCAGGATTACTGAGATTTAAGCGTTGAGGAGAGACTTGGAGCAATGCAGCTCTTACTGTTCTGCATCAGTTCCCTTCTTACGTGCTTTGGAGCAACTTCCTTACAGTTTTGCCAAATATTCTCCCCAACTTCTTTTATCTGTAATACTTTGAAGTGGTTAAGAGAATGGTTTCTAGCCCTTGGCAAAGTTTCCACGTGTAATAGAAAAAGATACAATCTGTCCTTCAAATATGGAATGGTGATGTATATAAGTAATAAGATTTCCCTCCTGATAATGTTTTACTCAAGCACTGAAGGCACGTGCAAGGCAAGCTCACCCTCTTATCAAGACGGCAGAGAGAGGCGACCTCATAACCGGTTAGCCAGGTGAAAAAATATTAGGCTAATTCACCAAAAGTCAATTTTCCAAAAGCCAGTTCAGTAAACGAGCTATGTAATGATTGGCCATTGTGTGTGTTTTAGGATTATATGCGTTTGCCTACGATTGTCGTAATTAATCAGTTATTTTGTGTCTGTTATTTAAATCAAAAACTGTAAAGTGGTACCGCTAACTCTAATACAGATAAATAACTACATATGGTATAAATGTGAGTGCTAGAAAGTTGAGGGTATAACTGGACTATTTTCTGGCAACAGGTCTAACAGTAGAGGGTAGGCTGGTGACTAGGGACAAACCTCCTCTGAATTTTGACCCCTTGGTTCACCAGAACTTCATCCAAATGGGACAAAAGGGCTTTGGGCAGCCGCTCCAGGGAACAGGGCGGCAGACAGCTGCCCGCATCGCTAAAATCATGTGTGTCTGTATTTCTTGCTAGACAAATGATGTGTGTACTTTCTATTACATTGAAAGTAAATTTCCACAGCGCTGTGTGGCCTGATCAACATTTCCATACTCTAGAACCCTGTCAGTTTTTAACCAAAAGATCGTTAGTTCTGAATAGCAGATGTCACAATGTTTTACTCTCTCCTTCTTCTCTCTCCCACCATTGTCAGCAAAAGGAAATTAGTAGTAGAGATGTGTTTCTTTCCCATTGATGGGAAATGTTATTTTTACCCTCACCCTTGGACACACACACACACACACACACACACACACACACACACACAGAATAGTCAAAAATAGCAAGAGTCAGTTTTGCATTTCTCATGTCCTTTCATCCCTATATAGTGATAAAGATGGTGGAAAATTGAATGGGAACATGTATCTTGAAAGAGGTTTGGAAGGATAAAGTGCCTTGCTTATGCTCTTTACCATGAGGAAAGATTTCATATTCAGAAACAGCTGAAACTTTTGAAAAAACAAAATACATCCTCTCCAATCTTCATTGAAATTTTTCAGAAATAAGTCAAAAATACTGGCAAAATGATATGCCTCCCTCGAAGTGTTTCTGGATATTATAGAGTACCAAGTAAATTAAGACACGCCAGGTGAAACTATTTATTGAGAGTGAAGTGGTTGGAAAAAGTATGTATTTAATACGTATAGTTTTATTTCCTCTTGCTCCTCTCCATGTCACACTGTAAATATCTGTTTATTGGGAGCTATGATCAAGACCTTTTCTTCACCTCCTCTGGTGAAAAATGTTCAGCCATAATCAAGGAAAGGAATAATGGCTTTCCTGTTTCCCCCACCTCCAAGTAGTAGGCAGCTTCCGACCAGTAACTATTTCCTGACATACCCCTTCCCCGAAGTTTCTAGGATATAGCAGAGTACACGAAATGCGATGGACTTTCAATAAGAAATTGTTGACCAGTTAATGGATTATAAATTTTAACTGTTCTTTGGGTTACATTCACATTGGTGAACGGGGCGTTCTTAATGGTATTCATCCAATGGTCTCACTTAAAAATATCTAAGGGGAAAGGGAAGTATTCTGTAGAATTTAGGATCACTTGAGGGATTTAAGTGTGCCGTTATCCCTTAGCCAGTGTAATTTCAGTAGAGCAAATACCCGAAGAACACGCTTTGAATCAATCCTTTCTCAGTCTCTGCTGTGTCTTGCTCGGATTCCAGCCAGACTCTGTCTCCCACGGTCAGCTGCAAGATGACATTTCCGGAAACATGCCTATGATTATCCTCGGCCCTGGCTTCCTTCTCGAGGACTTGGGTGCCATTCTTCATGAGCCCTAACTTCAGGGCATGCTGGAACAGCTCGATGTCAAAGCCAAAGTGGTACACGCCAGGGACGCTGCAGGTGAACACGCCCGTGGTGAGGTTGAAGTGCTCCTGGTCGTTATGCAGGGCTTCCTTGAAGACAGTGGGCTGGGAGGGGGCTGGGAGGGGATCACTCCGCTTCACTGCAAAGGCAGGTTTGGCGGGGGATAGACACTCCTCAGTGTTTCCTGGAATCCCGGTTAGCCCTACTGGTCCTGGAAAGCCTGAAAACCCTTAACACCAAAGTAAACAGAAGGAGGTTGGAGGAGTTTTGAAGTTCATGCATTTCACAGCCC